AGCGTCCCTGTCCCTGTCCCGTCCACCGGGGAGGGTCCCCGTCCCTGTTCCCTCCACCTGTGAGCGTCCCTGTCCCTGTCCCCTCCACCGTGGAGGGTCCCTGTCCCCTCCACCGATGAGTGTCCCCTGGCCCCTGCTGGCACCTTCTTGCTGGGCTGGAGCTCACTGGATGCTGAGGGACCTGGGGGACGCAGCGGTCCCGTTGAGCCTGGTGGCCCTGCGGGCTCTGGTGACCCTGGAGAGCCGGGTGGCCTCCGGAGGTCCTGGAGGACCTGGTGGCCTTGGTGGCCGCATTGCCTGGTGATCCTGGTAGCCCTTGTGAGCCTGGTGGCCCTTATGGTCCTGGTGGCCCTTGTGAGACCAAGGGGACCCAGGGGTCCCTATGGCCCTGGTGCTCCCAGTGAGACCTGTGGTCCTGGTGGCCCAATGAGACCTGTGGTCCTGCTGGCCCAGTGAGACTTGTGGTCCTGGTGGCCCAGGGGGGCCTGTGGTCCTGGTGGCCCAATGAGACCTGTGGTCCTGGTGCTCCCAGTGACACCTGTGGTCCTGGTGGCCCCAATGAGACCTGTGGTCCTGATGGCCCAGTGAGACCTGTGGTCCTGGTGGCCCAGGGGGGCCTGTGGTCCTGGTGGCCCAATGAGACCTGTGGTCCTGGTGCTCCCAGTGACACCTGTGGTCCTGGTGGCCCCAATGAGACCTGTGGTCCTGATGGCCCAGTGAGACCTGTGGTCCTGGTGGCCCAGGGGGGCCTGTGGTCCTGGTGGCCCAATGAGACCTGTGGTCCTGGTGCTCCCAGTGACACCTGTGGTCCTGGTGGCCCCAATGAGACCTGTGGTCCTGATGGCCCAGTGAGACCTGTGGTCCTGGTGGCCCAGGGGGGCCTGTGGTCCTGGTGGCCCAATGAGACCTGTGGTCCTGGTGCTCCCAGTGACACCTGTGGTCCTGGTGGCCCCAATGAGACCTGTGGTCCTGATGGCCCAGTGAGACCTGTGGTCCTGGTGGCCCAGGGGGGCCTGTGGTCCTGGTGGCCCAATGAGACCTGTGGTCCTGGTGCTCCCAGTGACACCTGTGGTCCTGGTGGCCCCAATGAGACCTGTGGTCCTGATGGCCCAGTGAGACCTGTGGTCCTGGTGGCCCAGGGGGGCCTGTGGTCCTGGTGGCCCAATGAGACCTGTGGTCCTGGTGCTCCCAGTGACACCTGTGGTCCTGGTGGCCCCAATGAGACCTGTGGTCCTGATGGCCCAGTGAGACCTGTGGTCCTGGTGGCCCAGGGGGGCCTGTGGTCCTGGTGGCCCAATGAGACCTGTGGTCCTGGTGCTCCCAGTGACACCTGTGGTCCTGGTGGCCCCAATGAGACCTGTGGTCCTGATGGCCCAGTGAGACCTGTGGTCCTGGTGGCCCAGGGGGGCCTGTGGTCCTGGTGGCCCAGTGAGACCTGTGATCCTGGTGGCCCCAGTGAATCAGGCGGCCCTGG